GGGTTGATAATTGGTTTCTTTTGAAATTCTGTACTTTGCTTTATTTGGCTTTATAAGCATGACCTTATTGTAAGGCATTGCTAAAGCTCTAACAGTAGAACAATATAAATTTACAAGCATATAAATGCTTTTTACATTTTAATAGTAACATATTTACATAATATAAGCAATTTACGTTAAGTATTATGAATAGGCCTGGTGTCAAGGCATTCGTTACTTTATTAATGCATTCATTACTTTAGCGGGGGTGAGAGTAGGGTAAAGTAGGGGGGGGAACACCGCGGAAAAACGTCTGCGCATGCACCAAATTATGAAAATATGGCGGGGAATTGACCACTTGCGTAATAGCGATATGCCCGCTAAGCATGACGGTAGGAGGCTGTAGGTTGCAGGTTGCTTTCGAACGAAATGGCTGTCGCATGAACGAGCGATTTCGTTCGGGAGGAAACAACGACGGATTTTTTACTCTATTCGGCTTCGACCAATAACAATTTTGTGTGGAAAATAACGAGGGTGTTTGGCAGTGCTCATGTAGAAAATTTAAAGAAATTCGGCTCATTAGTGGCGAAGAAAATTTGTTGTGAAGACGACCAGTTGTACACACGCCTCCCCTAAATTCGCTCGCAAAAACTTGACCACATCAACCAAAACAGGCTGCCTTGTACCCAGGCGCTTACATGAAGTATTCAGGTAGGCATCCGACGCGCGAAGGGGCTGTTGGGAAGGGTCGTGCTGGGAAGCGCCTGGCAGTTCTTGTATACTGTCATGGCGGGAAAACATGGAATTTTATACAAAATGTTACCATATCGTCATATACTCTGTGTGTAAAACCTTACTTTGTGATGAAGAGTTGAATTGAACGCCATTGGCAAATAATAATACATTTGTAGATGTTCGATGACATGCAAAATGCGCGAAAAATTATGAGTAAATAACATGACAAGTTAACCGTGCGAATATTTCGAATATGTCATTCGATATTACATGGAGAATAATAGAATGCTATCAGTTGTTCAGTTAGCATAAAACAATAACAGAGAAATTATTAGAAAGTCGTATAATTGCTTTTGTATTAATAACTTCTTTAGCTGAAAGCTCAATCAGTCGATCACAATGCCAATGGCAATTTCTATTAAATGTATACTGTAAACAAAAGCCCAAGTAAATCAAAGTTCACAGCCGTAAAGTTTGAAATATTTATTACAACAGTGCAATTTTATAGTCTGTACCTTTATATAGTTATAGCTTACAAATCTAGTTCCTGCAAGTGTACATCTTCAACGCTTCGGTTGTTGATCATGACATGTTAATATTGGAATTTCCATGGACTTTAAGGGCATATATATGTCATATATACCAAGAATAACAGCATGAATTCACGCCCGGATGACAGGAGAATATTAACATTAGTCAATTCAACAAAAACAAGTAGCAAAAAATCGTAAACGACAACAAAATATCACAACTTGCAAGAAATCGTACATTGTTGCAAGAAATCGACCAAGAACTGCCAGGCGTCTCGCAGTTCAAGTGCACTCTTCCCATCAGCCCCTTCGCCATCTCTCCCCACTACAATACGTCAACACTTCATGTGAACACGTCATATGGGCATCACTGTTTTTTTACAAAGAGGCGCCTGGGTACGAGGCAGCCAAAACAGGTGAGTTAGCTTTTCTACTCGCGATCGGCTAAATTTTTTTGAAAAATAAGCCCAATCGATAGTTAATCTCATTAGACTTCAAGGTTATTTTAATCCTATAGCTTCAAAAATGCCATTTTTAGCTTCATGAAAATGACAAATGTTAGCCAAAATTTTGTTCGAATATCCCATTGACAGCCATAGCCTGACAAAATGTTTTGAAGGTGTTTTGACGCGAAAATATCTGAATTTAAATGAGTTGTTTCTAGCTGTAACAAGAAAATATAAAGTTGAAAGTGTTTTTCATCGTTTTCTGCTGTTGTTTTGTCCTCGAGCTGAAGTTTGCTTTGGTTCTTATCCTTCATTCTAGTTCGATAAAATACTCGTGAGTTAGAACATAATATTTACATATAAATTATTAATTTAAGTTAGCAAAGTCTTGTATTAATAAATTTTTAGCTAGCATATAAACATTAGATAGGATTATTTTAATTAAATTAATAGGAAGTCAATTTAAAATTAGGTAGATAATAACTATAGGATTAAACAACTCACATAGGGCTAAGGCTAAGCAAATAAAATATTTTAAATAATATAATGGAGGGTGAAACAAGCACTTCGCGTGAGGCAAACAATGCTGCTACAGAATTGAAAATGTGGACAAGGGACTTACATGGCCTCCCATCATTTACGTATGAGTTACTAACTAAGCATTTTGGAACTGAACATGCTGGTGCTCAAAAACACAAGAAACTAGGTTATCAATTGTTTAAAGATAAATATTTTGGGCAAGTTGAGGTTAAAAAAATGTCATGAAAGGCAACATGATGTGTTTCCTAGTTAAAGGCTGTGTAAATGCTGCTATGAAAAACAATGTGTACACTGTATATGTTCATCTAAATGAAGCTAATGGGGAGGTTGTGCACAGCAACTGTACATGTACAGCAGGGAAAGGTGGGCAGTGCAAACATGTTGTTGCTCTGCTATTTCAAGTAATTGAATATAAACAATTAGACATGACAGAAATCCCTGATAAACCCACGTGTACACAATTACTACAGCAATGGCATG